TTCAAAAAACCCACTTTAATTACTGTGTGGTTTGTTCAGTTTTCTTTTGAAGATGCCTAACATATGGTATGATTTACACAACTCTGGCAGTGAGCTTGAGACAGAAGATTCAAATCCAACTGCAGAAGTATGCAAAACTTAACACTATGCATCAAGATTGGCCTTCTCATCAGCTGACTATGGCCATTTAAGTTTGCATTCATAATTAATTCCTATTTCCAAATATTCTTTAAATACTTGGAAATGTCATTTTTAAATCTTTTGTATGTAAAGCTTGTTCTCATAGCTGGTGACATCAGAGCCACCAAGGGGCAGAGATCACTGGCTTCCTTGAACAAGGCAGTCCCCTCGTTACTGGAGTGCACTGACAGTCTTGGCTTCAACAATCTCAATCTATAGAAAAAATATTTGTACACAAAGGAAACGGCACTTTATAAGACACAGCCTTCAAAGTGTGCAGCCCACAGACTCCAGCTGTGCCTCCCTCCCTCGAGGGTTTATGCAGGTCCCTTCTGAGCTGCCCCCATAGCTGTGCCACAGAGCCACTAGGCAGCCACCTCTCCCAGCAATGGCAAGCAGGCTGGGAAAAACCCCTCAGCTGCCTGTTTTATTTCTAGGGTTTTATTACAAGGGAAGAAGCTGAAAGCAAGGCCATGTACTACAAAATATTTCAATAATATCTCTCCTTTTTTCCTCATTCAGTGCCCTGCACCTCCCAGCACTGTGACTGCACCATGTGTTCATATACAGCATTAGGTTATTTCCCTCACTGTAAAAGCACCTTAAAAAACAGCAACAGAAGGTTTGTAAAACAAAGCTTGAAAAAAACTACACCACAGGAGTTTAACCAAGAACCTCTTGCTCGTTTCTCAGGAGTTCAGAGAACCCAGTGGTTTCTTTTTTGGCAAAAGATAGTTTTTAGTGGTATAAGTTATCTGCACTGCTGTAGTGTTGGTGCAGCACTTCTCAGGCTCTGGGTCACAAGTGGGTCATAAACCTTCACGCAGCAGATTGCAAAACAACTCTGCTCAGAGTAAGATGCTTTTAGAAGATATCTGTACCTTCCTTGGTATGGAAAGAACTAAACAAAATCAGCACTGGAAAAAATGATAATAATTCAAAAGCTTTGCCTCATTATTTTGATTGCAAATGATAACTGCTGTGGCAGCACTCCACAATGCATTTGTGATTAATTTTTTCCACCAAGGTTAGGCAATTCTCACATTTTTTCCAACAAGTTTAGAAGGCCATAAAAAACCTTGAAAACCACTGGTCTAGATGGCTTCACCATCAAGGTCGTCTGTCTAAAAATCTCACTTGCAGATTCTCACCAGGTTAATGCCGGGGACCCTGAACTATAGGAGAGGAGGAAAATTGAGATCACAGATTTCCACTCATGTTGGTTTTGGAACCAATTATATAAATGATACAAAAAGGAATTCTTTATTCTGTGTTCAAAGTATTGAGAATTGTGATAAATACATGTCATTAAGTATTAGAAATGATAAAAGATTCAAAGGACATCGGGAAATAAGGGATTAATGGTTTCTATTTTAACATAGTAACTACATGGTACCACCACTTTCATGTTTTGGCTGTATTTACATTACTAGACACTTGGGGTGGAAGAGGAAAAGCCCTGTTCAATTCCTTTTAACCACTGGGAATCTAACACCAGACTGCTTGCTGGGATGCTCCCTTGCACACAAAGGCCTGACAAGGACAGATGCAGAAATACTTGAGCAGTTCCTTCCTGTGACCCATCTACCCAACACAGCCACATGCACAGAACAGCAGCAAGGCAGGATTTGGTTGTCTACCACAAGGCAGTATAGCAACACAAACCTCAGCCTCATTTTTAATTCAAGACAAGATCCCAAATGCACTTAAAATTAAACTGGGCAGTATTTAGGAGCTGAGTTGAGGAACGCATCCTCAGAATTTCTGTGCAGTCTTTTACATATCCAGAATTTGTGGGTGTCCAAGTGATGGCCACTCAAGTTGTGCTGCCTATCCCCAGCTTTGTTCAGAGCCTGCTGCCCACTTCAGCCCCAACCCCGTTCTGATTTGCAACTCCCCAGTTTGGGAGTCTCAGCATGCTCTAACCCAGCGCACATCTCAAACACATGACACTCTCCAGTCTCAGGGAGGATTTCCTGCTGCAAACGTCACCCTTCCCTCCAAATTCATGCACTGCATTGCAAATAAATCATTAAGTCAGTATATAAAGCACTCAGCAGGACTCAAAGGCCTGCTGTAATTTCCTAGCCTGACTGAGGGAACCCAGACATATTCTCTTTTCCTCTCCCTGCAGACTCCTGCAGCCCTGAAACTGGAGTCTGCTTCAGAGTCCTACAAAGGGAGGATGTGCTTCTCTACAGCTGAAGCTATGCCACTTCACCCAGACCAGGAATGAAAGTGTCATTATGCCCAAAGACAAAGAACCTCAGCTTTTCCTAGGATGATAACTGGGCTTTGATTCCTTCTGCTTGTATCAGACTTCATAACTTCTTCCTGTTAAGGACAAAATCCTTGGATTCTGACGCTGGACTGCCTGAGTGGCCAGACTGCAGTGAATAAGCAAATGGTCTCCCTGAATCTCAAACCTGTTTCTCCAGGGAAAATAGAACACCCATCCCACTCTGTGGGAGCATTGTGACCAGAGCAGTTTCAGGGACAGTGCAATACATCAACTTGATAACCCCACACTGACAAAAGAATTGAGCTTTTGTTTTACTCATGTCCTTTTGTGGCCACAAGCTGCTTTATGTACTGGCATTTTACCTCATGTTAGCCAGCCCTAGAAATCACTTTTCTTTCTCCTTGTGAAGACAAGAGAATGATATGAGTATTGTTTGCATCAATAGAACAACTTCCAACATTACATTTCTACAAAGAGTCTCAGTAATTTTTGTCATCCCAATTGTCTCCCAGTGAAAACAAACCCATTTTTATTTCTGGTATGAAATAATTTTACTTAAAAATTGCTTCACCTGAAAATGTTGTAACATCCTATAAAAAGACACTAGGAAATTCAGAAATTTTCAATATCAGTAAAGAACGGCTACACACATCCATAATGCTCCTCCTTCCCTGCTGCCATGGGAATTGCACTGAACAGAGAATATGCCAGCTTGCAGCTAAATTTCCTACCACAAGGGTCCTTATCTACAGCATGCTGAGAGGCTGAGATCCAGAAAAAAAGCAGGTTTACAGAAATGAAATAAAATAAAATCTCATCTGACCTGCGTTTTTTTTATAGGAGGCTGGAAAAGAATAGAAGAATCCAATCAAATTGCACGTCTTGTGCAACCCAGAAGGAAGACAATGAGTCCATAACAGGTGTGGGATTGCCAGCCTGCTTGTGATATCCAAGAATACAATTACCATCAACTGTACAACTGTACTTCAGATTTGTGGGTGTCTTATTGCTCAGCCAAGCAAAAAGCTGACATTACTTCTGAAGGTGTGTGCTTTGTTATACAAAGAATACCAGAATAAGGAGTTTCAGAGAATAACATAAATCAAGAAGTCCTCTTGGTGCCATCAGAGTTAAAACCTGTAACTTCAGTATATAGTATTTCAGGTGTTATCAAGCAGAGATGATCAGATTTCAGTTTAATTGCTCCCTTTGTGAAAATACTTTATTAAATTATTTAACCAAGTTATCTTCTCTGTCCACAATACATTACCAATTCTAAAATTATTGAACTTTGCATTTGGAAGTTACTGTTTGGCATCAAATTGGTTTTTGCAATTAGCATACGCTACCAGGCTTAATAAAACTCAAGGACTCCTCTAAGAGACCCCAAAATGAAAATATCCCTAAGTATGCTCAGAAATTACCATTATGCATGGTCATCTTGACCCTGGGCAAGGAAGGCAGTAAGAACTCCAGCAACCATTGACAGCACAAATCCCAAGTGAGCTAACTATGAAATAATTCTCTTTTCTCTTGTCCAGCCAACACTGACCTATTTTCTAACCAAGGTGCACCTGCAAAGGTCTTCATTTTGTCCTCCAAGTTCTACCTCACAGCTACAGATATAAAAACCCACAACATTCACCAACTAACACTGATTGTGTATTCCTTTCTCACACTCTACTTTGGAAACCACTCATCTTAAAGTCTTCAAGATCTGCACAAACAAAAAGTGATCATTACCAATTGTCAGGGAAGCTGTTGTATAAGAGAAAAGCTTCCTGAGCTCCCACAGACTATACTGAGTGAAAAAGCCTGTTAAAATAACACTACTGCATTCCTAACAATTTACATAATCACAACCAAAAAAGGAAACCTGACTCTAGAGTAATTCAGGAAAAGTAAACCTCAAATTTGCATTATTTCATTCAGGAAGTGGACAGGTTAAATCAATCACGCATTTCAAGAGCTGAAAACTGCTGAAAAAATGATGACTGGGGCAGACATACAAGGCAAAGTTTATTTACAGTGGTGCTCTACATAGCAATTTTTCATTTATACTACATGGTAATTAATACAAGGCCCCCAGAATTTCTCTCCTTCTCCTGCCTCTTCTAAACTGCTCTCTTTACCCTCACTTCTTTCCATGCTTCCTTCATTTCTCTGCATGTGTCCTTTCCATAAACAATGACAGATTGGCACTCTGGTGGAACTGAGTCCTTTCATGTAATTTCTTCCTACCTTAATTTTGTCAGTGTAGAAGTTTGCATGGTGACTGTAGGACCCCATGGTCCCACAAAAAAGTGGCATTGGCCTTAACTTCTATAAGATGCACAGGCTTCCTTCTCCTTAAGGAAAAAAATCTCACCAGAACTATACAAATCTTTTCTTTCGAGAATAAAAACCTCCAAGTTTTCCCAGGATACACACTGAAGCACCCAGTGCAAAACTGCAAATAAGACATCAAGAGGTAAAGTGATGAAAAAGGCACACATCAAAACAACCCAGTTGTTGTTCAAAGATAATAGACAATAAAAGATGAAAATTCCTACTGTCCCAGCTCAACAGAACCTCTCACCTTGACTTTGCTGTGAACTGGTGTAGAAGATCTTTTCCCCCATAGTAAGGATGGGATCCCCATGGACTCTCCATTAGGGCCTGGGCAGCAAAAATGACAGAAGTCATCTATCTACAGGTCACTCATTCTGTCTTGCTCATGCACTGCCAAGTGGTCACTCTACCTGCACCTACAAAAAAAAAGTAAAGCCAGAGACTGCAGTATCAAAAGGACAAACCACCTGAAAGCAGAGACCTGAATGCAAGTCAGCAGAAGAAAACTTTATTTTATATAATTCCTTATTTCTCATTATTCTCCATGTGGCAAGTTAATTTTTTTATTATTGATATCACGCTGAATTTGGGCAAGATATGTATCTTTATATGGATTTATATATCTGCATATATTTCACTCATTACTGGAAGGGGGAAAGCAGTAAGTATTTCAGCAGTTAAGAACCACCAAACAGCCAAAAACCTCTGTTTCTAGGCATAATGACCATTCTTTTGGCAACATACAAACACAGAAATAAGAGTTCTCTCCAACATTCATAAATAGATTATTATCACATGTAACTTTAGGTCAACATTGCTGTTCTTTTTTTCTCCAAACAGAGGACAGTAAGGGATGTGACCTGCACACAAAACTACTGATTTATGCTGTACGGCCTAGAAGGAACCACACTGTCAGCAGGAAAACTTCTCACAATTACAATGTTTGCTCGCCTCACTGAGACCAGAAGTCCATGTTCTGAATGCACAAAAAAACCCTATGAACAGTTCAGTTACAAGACATAACACATGTAGAGCATGTGCAAGCTGAATATCTCCTTTATGTAAAAGACAGATGACACATACTCTAATTAAAGGTTAGTCAAGGAGTATAATGACTAGAGGCCAAACATGAGAGATGGTAATCTTGATTACAGGTTGGTCAGAGAGATCAAAGTAATAAATTGGCTCAGTGTTCCTAGAAAAAATTTTGTGAACTTTTGATGAGAAGATTACTATGTCCTGAATTCCTTCTCCATCGCTTGAGACCTTTTATTCCCTTAAACAGCCCACACAATGCAGACACTTGCTTCTTGCTCTCCTGCTCTGACCAGTGCTGAAACAACGATGAAGTGGAATGAAGCGTTACATAGTGAAGATTAACTTTGACCCATCAAACCCAGTGGTGGTTTTAACCTTTCCTGGCCTGTCCTATCTGTACTTGCTGAACTCCACTTGAATGTGAGCCACAACTCCTTGCTCCTAAACTTCTTTCAGCCCAGGCACTGTCTCCTTCGCAGCCTCCTCCTGTGCTAGACCGGCAGTACCCACCACTTGCCTTGAGCCATCTCTTTCACAGTCCTACCCACACAGATCTCTAGAGCTTCCCTGAACTGACCCAGACCATCTCTTTCCAGTCCTGCTCCACTTTCCCTCACATCTCCAATCACCATCACATCCTTCGC